TGGCCCCGAACACCTGGTCCCGCCACGGCTTTTCCCAATCTAATTCTAGTCCAAAACGAGCCTCCCATGGTCGCACTTTGGGTGCCTAACGCCGCCTCTGAATCCCTAGAAAAAAAAAGAAGTTTGTGTCCATTTGTCTCGGTCATCTTGGCCCCGAACACCTGGTCCCGCCACAGCTTTTCCCAATCTAATTCTGGTCCAAAACAAGCCTCCCACGGTCGCACTTTGGGTGCCAGACGCAGCGTCTGAATCCCTAGACCTAGAAAAAAACAAGTTTGTTTCCATTTGTCTCGGTCATCCTGGCCCCGAACACCTGGTCCCGCCACGGCTTTTCCCAATCTAATTCTGTCCAAAACGAGCCTCCCATGGTCGCACTTGAATGACGTACACCGGCGCTGCCAGGCTAAAGGCTGCGGTGTCGGAGTGCCGCGAACGTACCAATCCAGGGAGGGTTGAGGGGTTTGAAGGGTTTGACGGGTTTGAGGCGTTTGAGGGGTTTTGAGGCCTGGTAAACGACACAATCTATTTCCACCAAAAACTACTCCAAAACAGACTCAACTGCTCGCACATTCGGGGCCAAACGTTGCGTCTGGATCCCTAGAAAAAAAATAGTACATTCTGGCCCATCCGTACCCTGTGAACCTGAGCACCGGCACAGACCTTGCCACAAGAGATTCACAGGCACCGGCATCCATGGTGAGCACTCCCACACCTGTAATCCCTGGCGCGCTCCCCCTTTCTTCAGCCGGGGTCGGCGGATATGTGCCAAGAAAAACGCAGACTAAGTTAAACAATAATCTCAACAACATTAAGGAAAGTAAGAAAGAAAGCGACAGTGACACAAACAAGAGTTTGAAGAGTCGACATCTATTAAGTTCAAGAAGGTGATTGAAGGATTTCAGATGAATACAAATTTAGTCTATATTCATTTTAGGCAAGTATAGAGAAGATTGTCAAACTCAGAGTTCATTGATTTGAATCATAGTGCGTTACGATAGAAGACAGCACTGTGAGTATGTGCATGTCATCTTGCAAGGCTCCCTTGCTGTCTAAAAATAGTTGTTTCTACTGAAAAAAAACACTGATCATACCAACCAATTCATTTTGCTCAACAACCATGTTTTTTTTATTTTTGTTTTTTTCGATGTTTGACAGCCACATCCGCTCTTCGCCTCCTTTCTTTCCGGTCGTCCTCATCTCCTCACGCGTTTTTGTTTCGCGCGCTGGAGCCTGCCGCGTCAGGCTGCCACGTACCTGGCCGGACGGAGGTTAGATGCGACGGAAGAGGAAACCCGCGAGGTGCGGGGCGAAGAGGAAAGGAATCATGATGTTTGATGAAAAAACCTCACATGAACAGGTGTTTCAGTTCAAACTGAGGTTTTCAATTCAAGAGTCTACATTAGAGTTGACCTGAAGCATAGCACGAAAGGCTCAAAAGGGACATGGGTCCAAAAGCTCCAAGAAGTGAAAGGCCCAGACTTCAGACAGCCTACCGTCATGCCATCGCTCAGTCTGGCGAGGCGAACGCTGGAGTTGCACATGATTCAATGAGGTAAACAATGGGTAAACCATGAATCAAACATGGTTCCGATTCGTCCTTCTTCACTTGCTTCCTTTGGCCTTTCTGAGGCGAAAGCTTCTGTTGGGGGAATTGCTCACTCACCAGTTCTTGACAGCCTTCCTCGTATCACAAGGATAGACAGGGACCTATCCGAAGTATGTATAAATGCCGTCTTTAAGCATGTCCCATTGCTCGGCTATTGAACTGACAAAGGTCGATCGGTGCCCACACAAAAAGCAGAGCAAGGTCGGCTACTGTATTTTTCTGGGCTTTGACACGGAAGTGATCTGAAGTGTCAAATGCGACAGAGGGGATTCAACAAACTTGTTGGAGGGGTTGTGCATCGTGGACACCCTGATGCCGCAAGTAGCAGTAACTGCATTCTTTCTTCGGTCTCAGGTGGAGCTGTCTCGCGCAGAAGCTTCCAGGTGCCAGATCTCACAGGGTTCAGGATGGTCCGTTTGTATCTTCTGAGGATGTACCATCTAAATGCACCTCTATCCCCAAAAACATCGAAAGCCATCTCATCCGGAAGTGAAGTTGACCCAACATTCTGGGAAGACGATACTTTAAATGGTGTTTATGCCATGTTTTTTTGAAGCACGTTCATCATGTTCATCCGTGGATGGGCCATAAACATGCGTGTTTTTTTCCCCACCCAAAAAACCCACCGCGATGAGACCAGCGATGCCCAGCAGTCGCGATGCCCCAGCAGTTCCAAACCCCCCCCGACTCGGCCTCGGCTCCTCGGTCGAACCACCCCAAACGCGCCAAACGGCGAAACGGGCGTGTTGTTGTTTTCAGGCCTTCCGGAGCTCGGGGACAAAAAAGCTGCACCTGAACGACGAGTGAAGGTATGTTGGGTGCGAAAGACCACGAGGTTGGTGTTTGGGGACCACCAACGTTCAGAAATTGTCCCGAACGTCGAGCCAGCTGTCGTCAGACTGTCAGACGATTTTTTTTTGAATGGTCAGTCAGCTGGACTGCCAGGTGTTCCAGTAGCACTGAGTGAACTGTACCCCAATCCAATCCCCAACATTGACGCAAGCACTGGAGGTGTGTACCGATCCAAAACCCAGGGTAAATTGATATATTGATCCCGAACAAGGAAGACCTCGCCGATGGACAGAGATAGAGCCCTGGTCCATCCACCACCCCCTGGAGTTGATCGGTCAATATCCCTAGAAAGTCGAGAAGCAGATGGAAAACATGGTGGAAGTCTTTGGAAGTCTCTGGTTACCTATCTGGACCATGGAAGAGGGGGTGTGCTGTTTGGAGATCCCGGATAGCAGTGGGCTGGGGAGTCCAGCCAGGACACCTAGGTCCAGGATGGTCCTGGTAGAATGAGTTGCTCGAGGATGAATGGTGTTTAGTCCCTTCCAGTGAGTGGATGTGACAGGGGCACCCCTAACATCGAAGGATAGCACCCCGACATGAAACTCCTGGATGTCTTTCGATTCGCTCCTAGTAGCTTCTTGTTCCTGGTAGTAAGGCCAGGAGCCCCGAATGTAGCGTCTTTGCTCGATGCCAGGAGCCCCGAACGTAGCGTCTTTTCTCCTAGTAGCGATGCCCTTTGTTACTTACTCATTAGTGGTTTGCCTGGATCCCGGCAGGATGAACTCCGCTCGCGCAGCACAGGTGGTGGGCGCAGCGCAGCTCTGAGCAGCAAAACGATGAGAGCAGCTCCAAGTCGGCGAGGCGCAGGGACGGTTGCGATGCAAAGGGACCAGGAGTGCCCAAAGAAAGCACTAATTCTTTGGTGTAGGGCGTTCCATTGAAGACCACACTGCACCACAGCTCGACGAGGATGTGGTTTTGTTGCTGACTCATATTGACTAACTATACATCCCAACCGAAGGTACTAAGGCACTCTGACCATTTCTGACCCTGTTTATCTACCCCAGACACCTTCGAAACACACGAAAGATCCCATTGGGGTGCGTTTGCAAGCTGTGCTGCTTGATTTTCGAAGGATGGAACAAGTTGGACATCGAGACAACACTAAACTTTGAGACGATTTTTGGGACCACCGAATTGTTCAGGACACTCCAAAGATTAGCTGTCGTCAGACCGAATAGTCGACTGGATTCCCAGGGTGAATGCTTCAAGATCCGATGGTGACGGTATTCTCCAACTGGCTGCCAGAGTTCTTCCTTCAGTTTTTCCTCCCAACAAAATGTGGGAATGTGAACTCCCAAAAGAACCACGAACAGTCACAAGAAATGTGGATATTTTGTAATATTTTTCCGGCCATGGCAGGATATGGCGGCACGGCTCTGTTTTGTAAAATTGAGCCGGTTGTATCCTGAGACGAGAGAAGAAGTCCGGCAATGCGCACATTCCTGGCTTGAGACAGACAAGCCACGGAGCCAGGCTGGACACATCAGCCAAGGCCGGGAGATTGTTTGGGCTGCCTTGAGTGGATTTGTCAGTTGCGATCCCCAACCAATGAGACTGGTCTGTTTTCCCCCCCTTCCAGGGGCCCAGAAGGTCTATTCTGCCTTGAACTCAAGAATTCCAGCAGACTCAAGCCAACAGCATGTGGGTCCCACCCCTAGGTCCTAGGTGTTGCCTTCGGAGTACTTTTCAGAGTCAGAGAGTGCTTTCGTAACCCGGACAATAAAAAGACATGTGCATGTAGCAATGGGCATCCTCAGTTTCATGTTTTTTTTTCCTCTTTATTTTCTGTTCAGAGGGTTCTGGAAAGGATTTCCAGAGAAGCATTCCCTGAAGCATACCTCTGCATACCCCACGGTCAAGCCCTTGAACGTGAGCGATCCCGGAGGCAGCCTTTGTAGATCCTGAAGCGGCCAAGCTGCAGAGATCGTGGCCTCCTTTGGGCACTCAAAACTGGAAAATCCATGGGGTTTTCCTGGCCAAAACGCGGGAGCATCGAACCATCTCCAATTCTTAAGCATTTTGGTACCCATCCACCCTTTTCATATGATTTGTATCTTTTCCATAGCACTGTCTTATTTTTGGTTGGGACCTGCCGCCCAACACCCCGCTCCGCCCGCGGGCGCAAGCGCCCGCATGCTTGCCCGCAGCACACGTGAAGTACCAGGAAACCCAGTACCACGACGCGTTCCACACCGATGTGTTTGGCGCACGCTTTCAGGGAATGGATCCAAAGCTTTCTCTTCTTCGGGGGTATCCACCACCCTCAGCTAGCCTCGGCTACTAAGCAGTCAGATTCGGAGAAACTGAGGTCCTAATCGAAAGAGCTTAGTCTTTACACAGCACGAGTCAGAGAACTCAGAATCTCCGCTTTGAACCGCCATGTTTCTTCCATCATTGCAATGTGAAGAGACCCGTGGATCAATCAGTTCAATGTTCTCGTTCTTGGAGGTTGTTTAGAGTGAGTTTCTTGTTTTTGGTCTTCAAATTTGATATACCAGGACTATCCAATGGGTTACCAATGGACTACCACCATTGGATGGTCCAGGTATATACCTGGATCTTCCAACTCTGATTTATGATTGTTCATCTATAAAACCAGCCAACAGGCAGAGAATTTTTGCATAGGAAGATCTAGCATCGGTACATCTATTTCCCAAACAGTTTACTGTTGGAGTTCTCTTAGGAAAAAAGGAAGCTGGCCACAGTCTCTGGGTGAGCGCTGTGTCCCGTGTCCTCCTGTTGTCCTGTAGGAGGGCCCGAAGGGCTTGACCTGGTCTATTTTCCTTCTTCCCTCCGGTGTGTTGATATATAGGGGATTATAGGGGTCTCCCTTCAAGAATCACACCACCCAGATTCTTGCGAAAACGAACTTGGATCCACTGCTAGTGGAGGTGTTCCTTTCACCCGTGGTGCCAAGGCTGCATCAAGCCACTCAGGCTTGATCGGATCTGGACGGCATTGACCGGGATCTTGAAAACTACGCAACATGTCCACCTTTTCATCCATTTCCATCGTAAAACCAGGGTCCTCCGGGATTCAAACCATAAATCTTAAATCAATGGTGGGCCAGGCATCCTGGGCTCTACCATGATCTACCAACTTCATCCATGTCTTTTTCCAACCCCCCACAGGAGGGTCGTTCGGCAGCGTGGGAAGAGTTCCGCATCCCGTCGGACGCAGGGTCGGGGGGCGGGGTGGGAGGTCTGGACTGTTCTCAACCGGAGGTGAAGTATTCGGACTGCGGATAGATGCTGCGGTGTACCCTGCAAGTCAAAGACTATCAAGAGAATGGTTTGATGAGGTCGGTGACCCGAGGAAGAAGGAATGTCCTGAAACCTTCCGTCGGTCAAACTATTAATAGTCGAACTGGACTTCCAGGGTGTATGTAGCAGCGAATGGAGTGGATCCACTGGATGCACGCAGTGAGCCTCCAGCCTTCGAGCTTGGCAGCCCGCTTGATTCTGTTCAGTAGTGTCAGGGAGGGGCACAAAGGCACACAGGTCTAGGATTTTTCGCATCGAATCCATAATATGTAATAATAGATCTGTTTGTGGCATTTGATCTCCTCTGAAACCACCTGATCATCATCAAAGAATCGAAAGGACTAAAGGACCCTAAAGGACTTATCATCAAGAGAGCCTTTTGCCAAAGCAAGTATCTACATAAGCTATATATATATAAGCCAAAGCCTCAGGACCGCTGTTTCCATGCATGGAGCAGTGAAGTCTATCCAAATGCGTCCAAATCCTATCGTGTATGCCCCACGGCTCTACGACTTCCCAAGTAGTGAAGTGTGGCTTCTGTCTTCTACGTTACAATCATCCTGGATTAGAATATGAACCAATCCGACAACATGACCATGTACGTGACTAACCTCCGATCCATGGAGTCCGCACCGCCTCCACAGATTTGGAGAGACGCTTGTCCTTCGTCTCTCCGGTGGAGTCGCTCTACCCGGAGTTTGTCTTCCTGGAACCCACGGTGGAGAGTGAGAACACCAGCGAGCCATCCCTGGAGCGGTGTTTTTTTTTGGAAGGGGTGGGCAGCGATGTCCGGTTTTCATCGGTTTTCAAGAAAACAACAATATCACATATCACGAAAGCTAGCTGTAGCTAGCTGGAGTCTGTCTTGCTTTAGCAAGGAGGGTGGGAGCCCAGGACCTGAGTGCTGTTACCTGATATGTCAGGACTATACCCCCCGCCCCCCCCCGTATGATAGAAAAACTGGTACTATGTGTCGTGGACCGTTTCTCAAACAAAAAAGAAAATATAGCTCAGCGTATACAGCCGTATACATTTCACAAATTGCAAACATTAACTAAATCACATTTTTAGTCTTTTATTTGTTTTACTTTTCCGAATTTATTTTTAAATATGTTGGGTTTACCGGAGGTTTGGAAACAATTAAAAATTTGTTTATTTATTTCATTTTATTTGTTTTATCTATTTGTAGTTATTTTGAGTAATTTTAGTTATTTTGTGTTTACCGGACGTTCGGAAACAATTAAAATTCTAAATATTTTAATTATTTTGATTATTTTTACTTATTTTGATTATAATTATTCTTAATTATTTTTCCCGGAGGTTTGGAAATAATTAAAATTTTAATTATTTCAATTATTTTAATTATTTTAATTATTTTTAATTAGTTTTAATTATTTTTGGGTTGACCGGAGGTTCGGAAACAATTAACATTTTAATTGTTTTGATTATTTTTAATTAATTTAATTATTTTAATTAATTTAAATAGTTTCAATTATTTTTCCCGGAGGTTTGGAAATAATTAAAATTCTAATTATTTTAATTAT